TGATAATCTGACAACGTGTTCTGCCCAAAACAACAGTTTGTGTTCCTCTGTAAGTGTTAGCAGTAGACAGGAGACATCTCTATGAGAGAAAGGAGCATTTGACAAGAGCCATAAAAAAAGAAAAAAGAGAAAGGTCAGTGGAAAGATGACAAGTAAAGTGGAATAACAGAGAAGATGTCCAGTGGACCAAGATACTTATCCTGAGCCTAAGAAACTGGGTAGATTGTCTGTTTTAGCTCGTATCTTCATAGAATAGGAAAGAGAGATAAATGGCTATACTACGAATATTCCGACACTGTTGAACCCTGTGGCCATATTCCGAACGCTGTGACTGTAAGAGAGATGATCGTGAACATAACGGGAAGTAAGGAGGGATGGAATAGTGTTCACAATTACATCCGAACAGTAATTAAAAAGAAAAGAAGAAGAGAACCACTAACCAGAGTAACGACAGAGATAAGAGCTAGATCGGGGACAGTAGTGTTGCAAAAATGTCGTCAACCTTATTGGGACCGTGCAAGTTCGGAACAGCGACACTTGGTGTCGTAAATCAGCAAAATTTACTACGCTTTCATGTTAGATCGAAGTTACCGGATAACTGTCAAGGACGTAGCCCCAAAAAAGAATAAGAAGAAAAAGTAAGATTGAGGTTATGTCGGTATTTTATTAAAAGGTAAACGTTGTATGTAGTGTAAATACAAATAAATATATTATTAAATTACAGCATTACTGTTAATATGGATGCAATATTAAAAACTGGATTTGAGAAAGTAAATCAAAAAATAACTTTTCAACCAAGCACTGAGTCAAATGGAAAAGCCTTAGTAGTAGCAAATGTCAAAAAAGAATGGAAGAATTAAGAAAAATAAATTACCGTAAATAATGCTAATGCATAAATTAGCAGGTTAACCCCATTAAGATATATTCGTTGTCCAACTTTTGGACAACGAATATATCTTAATGCATCTTCAGAAAAACTTGAACTTGATGAATTTTTGTAAACTTTAAAAAAATTAAATTTAAACATTAAACTTGATTTTTGGGTTAAAATGAACTCTAAGTGAGTGTTATAAAACTAAATTTATTATTTATTTCAAACTGACTTTAAAATCCGACGCAAGAATAATGCATAATTTAGGTTATGTTACTTATGCCTTTTTATGATACAAATCCACTTTTCTCTTTGTAGTAATTTGTGCTTTGAAGTTGAAAACGAATAAAACTTAAATAGACAATTTTTTGTTGTATTTTTACAATTTATAACACAGCATTTCCTAAATCCCATTTTCTTCACTGACAGAAGCTGTAAATAAACAAACGAATATGAATATGACAATTGACAATATGAATTTATGTAATCTATGAAATTTGCAGTAAAAAATGCAAGATTTCTCCGCTACTCGCGCACGATCGCTTCTCGTATCACATCCAAGTACTTGCACGTCGCCAATAGCGGCCATCCCACCTTCGGAGTACGGTACGTGCGACAGTCAACTGCGCACAAGTAGGAGAGGGTGGTTTTAGTTGCGTAGATAGGGTAACAGATGCCTGTATCTTTGGCACTGCTATCTTTAGTGCTAATAATTTTAACTTATACTTTTTAACTTAATATAATTATAACTTATATTTGTTACGTACATTATTCATTTCTTTTACAGGCATTTTTATCACTGCTCTATCTGACCGTGTCAGATATAGACGCTCTTATCAACTACGTTGGCTTTGCAACATGGGTAAGTTTTTTATATACAAAAAGAAAATATTTTTGCAAAAGATCAAGCAATATAACACTGAAAACTTTTGTTTTCAACACTTCAGCTGTTTCGGCAGAGTGCCTTTCTCAAGTGAACTATTTTTGTTATGCGTCTTTATATATAACTTATATATATATATATATATATATATATATATATATATATATATAATATATATATATATATATAATATCTATAACTTTAGAGTCTTTAACTAAATAAGTTGAGGTAGGGAGAACTGCTTGTTCGAAGTTGGTCTTCTCGCCTAAACTTATTTAGTTAAAGACTATAAAGTGTTGGACGCATAACAACACTTGAGAAAGGTACTCTACCCAAACAGCTGTAGTGATAATTGATTATAATAAAAATTTGTGGAAGTGTTAAAAACAAAAGTTTTCAGTGATTTACTGCTTAATAAAATTAACTTACATCAAGTAACGGTCGAATTCATTGTATATTCTAAAGTAAAATTTCCATATAGACTTTCTGAGATTGCTCACAGGGCTTATGGCAATTTAAAAGAGTTAGAACCAGTATTTAGAAACAGCGTATCCTGTATTTATTCATGTTTCGTCTACGTAGTATGTCTATTTTTGTCACTAACTTGTTTAATATTTCATAAATGGGTTCTCCTCAAAAAAAAAGTAATCACTTGTTTGTTCATGAAAAGAGATTTTCTATTGTTTTTCATACTTAAAATCCACTTCTTTCAAAAGTGTCCAAATATGGTTTAAGTGATGGAATTTTGTTACTGAAGTAGAAACACGTATCTACGTATTAGTCTTTGTTTTAATAACTGCTCGAATTGAATTTGTCGTTCCAGTCTGAATAAGTTCCAGTTCGTTCAAGGGGTTCATTTTTACTTTTTTGTGTACTTTATAATTTGTTTATTTGGTAACACACATTAAAGCAACAGTTCATTCTACATTATCATCAGCACGTACACCTGGAATCTTGTTTTCCAATGAGATTTTTTTTTTATTTAAAGGTCACGCTCGTTTTTACTACACTAATATATTTAACTAAAATATATTTGTAAAATATTTATTCATTGTTTGTTTTAAAGACTTTTAATCATCATCATCCTCTTTGGCTCGACAATCCTCTGTGGATCCTGGTCTGCTTTAAGATTCATCGCTATTCTGTTCGGGTTTTGGCAACGTGTTGCCTTCTTCTGATCTCTTAGGTCGATATTAACTCCATCTAACCACCCAGTTTGCGGTCGGTCCCTGCTTAATTCTACATTATCTCAACACGTACACCTGGAATCTTGTTTTCCAATGAGATTTTTTATTTAAAGATCACACTCGTTTTTACTACACTAATATATTTAACTAAAATATATTTGTAAAATATTGATTCATTGTTTGTTTTAAAGACTTTTAATCATCATCATCATCTTTGGCTCGACAATCCTCTGTGGATCCTGGTCTGCCCTAAGATTCGTCGCTATTCTGTTCGGTTTTTGGCAATGTGTTGCCTTCTTCTGATCTCTTAGGTCGGTCTTAACTCCATCTAACCACCAAATTTGCGGTCGGCCTCTGCTTCATCTTCCTGTAGGTGTTTCTGCCGTTTGCTTTTTAGCAATCATATTGTCAGGCATTCATGTTATGAGTCCAGCCCGTCTAGTTATACCAACACCAAGAGTTGGTATAATTCGAAATTATATCTTTTGTTCCACTGCCCTATATCGTTTCATCATCATGCAACCTCTTCTGTCCACTGCTGGACATAGGTCTCTCCCATTTTTCGCCACTCTTCACGGTTATGTGTGTCTTGTTGTCATTTCTTGGATATTCGTTTAATGTTGTCCATCCAGCGTTTTTTTTTAGTGAATCATACGCCGCCCAAGCAAGTGTTATTCGTCGTTGAAATTCACAGGTCTGATTATCCTTGCTTATTCTTATTTCATGACCGAGATATATGTACTTTTCTGTCAATTATACCACTTAAGTTTGAATGGTTAGGTGTACTAACTTTTGTAAGCCGGTAGTCTATTCTACTATTGTTCAGAACAGTTATAATGTTATCTAATTCCACGATATCAAAGGCTTTGTGAAAGTCTACGAAGATAAGTACCAGTGATTATTATATTCTATCGATTTTTTTACTGTTTTTTTTCTAGTCTTGTCGTTATTATTCAAGTAAACATTCTATGGATGTGGTTTAATAAGGAGATTGGTCTATAGATTTCTAGGTACTCCTTGTCTCATTTCTTGTGTAGTAAAATTTTTAATACATTGTTCCATGTTTCCGGTATGCAACAAAGGTTAAACAAAATTTTTATTTGCTTGAGAAGGGTACGTCCGCCCATCTTTATTACGACTCCATCTTCTGGTGCTTTGTTGTTTTTATCTTTTTCATTGCGTCTTGGATTTCGCTTAGTGTGATCTCTAGCATGGACTCTCAACTCTGTTTGATGATTTTGCGTGATGCGGTGGTTTGCAAGTTCGTCTGGTCTTCTCTTTGACTTGTGTATAGTTCTTGATAGAAGTCTTCAACTGTGTATAGTACTTCTTCTCGATTTGATATTAGGACTCCTTTGCTCTTTAATTTATGTATTTCACACTTTTCATTGTTTAGCCGTCTTCTCAGGACTTTCATACTTTTATTGTCTTCTATAATTTGGTGGACCGTTTCATTCTTAAATTTTCTTAAATCTTATAGCTTTTTATACTTCTTTATTTATTTTTCGCCAATGCATTCGTCTTCGTTGATTTCTCTTCTAGTTTCTATTAGTTGCTTTGTTTGAATAATTATTTTTTCGTATTGTCGTCTTTTAGGGCAGCATTTTACTTCGAGCCTCTCGAATAGCTTCTACGATATTTTCGTTTAGGGTATTTATATTATTTATGCATTCCTTTTGTTGTAGGATTTTATTAATATTTCCTATATCGTTTGTAGCTCCAGATAATTTTCGGATGATCTTACGCTCGAATATTCCAAGAAGTCTTTCATCCTTTTTCATTAGAGTCCATGTTTCCGCCACATATGTGAGGACTGGCCCAGCAGTATTTTATTAATAATAATTTTATTAATATTTTAGTAATTATTATAAGACTTTTAAAGGTATCACTATTAAACGTCACGACTCCCTTAAGTTTTTTGAACATTTTATAATTTTTGGTCGTTTATATTTTAATCATAGTTTCTAGTAAGCAATTTTTTTTATTATCATTTATATAGTCGTTCAAATATGCAATTAAATATTTGACGAAAACTCAAGTAGAATACTATATTTTTTAGCTAAGCATTGGAGCAGCAGTTTTATGTCTTCCATGGCTGAGATGGAAACAGCCAGATCTCAACAGACCTATAAAAGTAAACCTTATTTGGCCTATCCTGTATTTGGCCTGCACAATTTTTGTCACAGCTGTCCCAATGGCTGCAAGTCCATATGAAACAGGTAATATTTATTTTCTATATTGTCTTCATTGGTATACATATTAATCTTCTTTGAATTTCTTATATAATGTTAATGTGTATTAGATGTATAGAAACATGAAAATACTAAGGCAATGTGTAACTTTAACAAAAAGTTACACACTGCATTAGTATAACTTTAATAGTAAGAAATATATATATAATATATATAGGACAACTAAAATATAATATATGTAATTAGTTTTATGACATTATATTCGTAAAAAGTACTTACTTACTACTTAATTACTTACTGTTGAGTTTGGAATAGTTCGCAAGTCACGCAAGTTTATTTTGGATGTTGCAAAAGATCTAATATTGACTGATTTAGTTGAACAGGTTTAGTTGGACATGTTTAACATGTAGGCGAAAACGTTAGTCAAGTTATTGATGCCACTCTTCTTATTCATTACTGTTTTGGTGTTATTAATATGTAATATTTCCAAGAAAACACTTTTATCGTAGTTCCTTTCTCCATCCAATATTGTCACCTTATTAAAATTGATAAAGAAACTAAACAGTTTCGAAATCTCGACTTTTAATAAAAGAGTCTACATATAATAGTGTTTTAATCACTAGGCCTTTTGACCGCAACCTCACAAATCTTTGGAAATTTTACTTTACTAGCCGGTCACAAACAGGTTGATTTTTATTTTTAACAGGTTGACTGCCACATAAAAATGTTTTAAAAAGTCCATGGTGCCAAGTTGAAAAAAGTGCATCTGGCAACCAACTGAACTACTTCCATTACTAATATTTCACCAATTTCATGTATTAGTCCCAATTTTTGAAAAAATAGGTCAGCCGTCGAATACGACCGCCGGGGCGTAGGCGGCATACTTATTCCCCTGGTGCCAAGCGGTCGGTCGGGCGGTCGTTCTGTTCATGATGAGATTTGTCGAGTATTATTCTGCTGAGTGGTTGTTTTGACCAATATTGTATCAGTAGAGGTTTGGTTGTTAGTAAGACAAGTAAGTTAATTGTGGTGGTCGTGTTATTTTTAGAGTTAGATCAGAGTAAAAACAATTAATATTTCTTGAAATAAAATGGGAAGTCGTGGTAAAATGATGGTTGGGATGGCATGAGGAAACACTATATTGGGACGCTAAGAGCAAATCGTCGTGGAAACTCAAAAGAAGTAATAAATAAAAAATCGAAAAAAGGGGAAACGTTTGGGTTGGAAAACGAGAGAGGCATGTGCGTTTTGAAGTGGAAGGATAAAAGAGATGTCTTATTACTATCTACTAAACACACTATCGAAACTCGAGCAATTCAGCGACGAAGTGGTGTTGTTCATAAACCTCAGGCTGTACTGGAATACAATTAGGCAAAGTCCTCAATTGACCAGTCAGACCAGATGGCAAGCTATAATTCACCTCTACGAAAGTCACTGAAATGGTACAGGAAGCTCGCTGTAGAATTTCTTCTTGATACATCCCTCGTAAATTCTCACATTATTTTCAACCAACTAGCCAATAAAAAGATGAAAATAACTGAATTTAGAGAGCATGTAATAAAGTCGCTTTTAAGTTATGAAGACAACATTGAGTCACAGAATGATTCCGAAAGGGAACAACAACAAATACGAACTACAAGGAGATCGATGCAAACTCATACTTTGGTGAAAAAAGAAGGACCATATGATAAAATGAAAAAATACTGTAAAGGTTGTTACAAAAAGAAAATTCGGGGAAACAAAACAAAAAACTAGGTCAAAAAAGTAGTAACTTACTGTGACACTTGTGAAGGTCAACCAAACCTTTATTTAGGTTGTTTCAACAAACACTCCAAATAACCGATAATTTTTAATTTCTTTTATGTTCTTATTTAACTTTTGTATGTTCAAATCGAATCATTTCAGTTTGTAATGGATATTTTTTATAGTTTTATATTTTTTACTCGAAATAAAGATATGTCAAAATTTCGATATCATTTTAGTCTCCCCTATTCAGCCAAAATATACGACGACTGTATGCCACAATCGTCGAATACTGCAATAATTTCGCTTCTCTACACGACCTCCAGCAAAACCGTATACGACCGCCTGGCAGTCAACCTGTTAAGCATATTCTATATATCATACGTGAGCGTGATGACATAATCGATGATTTTTTAAATGGTAATAGGAGTCGTGTGTTAGACCATTTGAAAGGTTATTTAATTCCCTATTGACTGATATAAACATTAATCTAATTAGGTAAAGAAATAATAAATAAGACTTACTCACAATCAATTTAATTTAACTATCAGACGACCGGTTTCGCTTTCTACAATAGGCAAAGCATCCTCAGGTCTCGATACAAAGTTAAACAAATGATGCTGGTACTCTATTAATAGATGGATGGTAGAACATGGTTGAAACTACTTTATATTGTTGAATGGAGAACTCAATTCTATTATTGCAGTTGTTTGACAGTAAACGGGAAGTTCTTGAGGAGATAGATTTGATCCAATGAAGAAGAGATATGTGTGAGATTGTTTGTTAAATGTAAGTGATGTAATATACCATTGTGTTATTAAAAGCTATTTATACTTATTCGAGAGATATATTTTTGAAATGTGTGTTATTTATTGAGTAATTGTTTTATGAAGGTGACAGTTTTATGACAATGAATAAGTTTAGATGTAAAAATTGTGTGGGTGTGCAATTATTTTCCAACTTGTAGTTATCAAATTACTTTGATAAAGTTCTATTGGCAATGAGTTAATTATTGGAAAGCCCCCCTTTTTAGATTCAATGTTTGTTTCGTCCCTTCTAAGTGTTTTCTGTTTTGGTGTGTTTAAATTATCCTTAATTGTTTGTATTTTAATATTTTATTTACTTGACTTTCCAATAATTAACTCATTGCTAATAGAACTTTATCAAAGTAATTTGATAACTACAAGTTGGAAAATAATTGCACACCCACACAATTTTTACATCTAAACTTATTCATTGTCATAAAACTGTCACCTTCATAAAACAATTACTCAATAAATAACACACATTTCAAAAATATATCTCTCGAATAAGTATAAATAGCTTTTAATAACACAATGGTATATTACATCACTTACATTTAACAAACAATCTCACACATATCTCTTCTTCATTGGATCAAATCTATCTCCTCAAGAACTTCCCGTTTACTGTCAAACAACTGCAATAATAGAATTGAGTTCTCCATTCAACAATATAAAGTAGTTTCAACCATGTTCTACCATCCATCTATTAATAGAGTACCGGCATCATTTGTTTAACTTTGTATCGAGACCTGAGGATGCTTTGCATATTGTAGAAAGCGAAACGGTCGTCTGATAGTTAAATTAAATTGATTGTAAGTCTTATTTATTATTTCTTTACCTATTTGAAATGGACTCACACAAGCAACACATTCACGAATTAATCTAATTATTTGTACTGGATAATTAAACAAATATTTAATTTTTGAATTAAATTAATTTACGCAACAAGAAGTATGTATGTAATTTATTTAATATAAAATGTATTAATTTACTGCTGACAGCAATAATAAACCGACGACAACGATTTTCTGAACATTGTGGGTCATTCTGGAGTTAGTTATATTAAATCTGGTAATCTAAAAATATTTCCTAAATAATTCTATTTCGTTCTTAATCTTGTGGTCGATCGATGTAAAAATTTGATTTTAAATAACCCCATAATAAAACATTAAGTGGTGTAAGATTTGAAACTATTACTCCTCGCTGAAACGTTCCTCGCCTTCCAATACATCTCCTAGGAAAACATTTGCTTAAAAAATTACGGCCTGGAAGTGTGAAGGTCTTGAGGTCTTGCTGAAAGCATATGTTTTCATTTTTCAAATTAAAAACATTTTTATTTTGACTATTTCACTAGACTATTTTTAACTGAAAACGACATGTCAACGTCACGTTTCCTGCTGACAAAACTCCTTCCTGCCCGTTGTTCTAAAAAATTATATTGTTGTCGTTTGACAAACGTCATTGAGGGATAATTAATTTTTATACAGATATAATGAATCCAGACAAAAAAATCAAGATTCAGATGCTATTCAGGTGAAGAAATTTAAAAATTGGTTTCGGAAAATGTCCCATTGAACACGCAGAGGTCCAGAAGCTCTATTTGGACCCAATTTTCGGAGTTCTTCGGATGAGAAATTTTACGCTTGAAAGATATACTACCATAACGGAACTAGCAAAAATTCTCGAGTATTGTGCCTTTAACATGAAAAAAGGTTTTAGCGGCGAAGACTATACAGGGTCGTCTGTAAAGTCCATGTGGAATACTACAACAAAAATGGTACAAGAAAAATATAATACGGAATACGGTATAAAAATCGACTCTTTCATAGATATATCTTTCAAATGTCCCAGATTGGCCAGAGATTCCAACTGGAGGCAGCGCCAAAGTGTTCAAGAAAAAAGAAAACTCAGTACAAAACCATTTTCCACCGATGAACTATTAAAAATCATCCAAAGCTACGACGAGGAAACCCCCGATGGAACACAAAAAAGTTTTTTCTCCTTTGCTCATTTGAACTTGCTTGGAGAGGCAATGAGTTTTTCAAAACAAATCAAGGAGGTTCGCAAAGTTTGGCAAGCTGGTATGAATGGCTGATAAGAAATTCATCAAACGAAAATTTATGCCCAGTTAGATTATTTTTGAAGTTAATGGAAAAAAGGGGACCAAAGATTTTATCAGCCAGACTCTTTCTTAGGCTTCCCGCATACTATCGATTTATTCACGACCAAACAGTTTAGTCGAATCGTGAGGGTATTGCGATTTGTTCTCGACTAAACTATTTAGTTATGTAGGGTGCGCATACAGTTGATAGTTGTATTGGAGATTTCAGTGTGTCATCATGTCGTATAACAAAAAAGTACTTGCTTGTGCATTACTGTACATGGAAGATAATGAAAAAAGGAAAAGAAAGTTCTGTGTACATCCCATATTAAGCGACAGATTAAAAAATGGAAAATTTCACACGATACATTGCAATC